ATGTATACGTCTTAGCCTAAGGTCTCCAAACAAAGCAGCCCAAGTCCAAGCAGTTTCTATAGTGAGTAAAAAAAAATCAAAATTCGCGTAACAAAATGGCCGCCATTCCCACTCAAAGTCAAACAGAGAATTCTCTTCTGAAATATGAAGTTCAACTCCCAAATTGTCACCAGATCCAAAGAAAGCCCTCGCACAACGCGCGCCATCTAGTTATATATATAAAGCTACAAGTTTAGACTCACTTAGAAAAATATAAAGCGTACTTCCCGATATGGTGGAAAAAATATATTTATACCATTGTACGCGGATAGGCTCCAAAGCAAAGAATGAAATATAAGAAGACGTGAATGTGGAAAATGTAAACGAGTGATCAATGGCCTGCAAAAACTACAATACATGGGAGGAATTTTTGTGTATTTTTATGAGATACACCCTGGTAAATTTCCGCGGGAAGTAAAAAATGTTCGAAATTCAAATAAACAAGATGGCCGCCATACAAATTTCAAAGCCTCTTATCACGGAAACTATTAGAGATATGCAGCAGGTGCTCGAAGGAATGTCATAGAGGGTAACACTGGTCAACCGTCTGGGTTAAAAAAATTCCAAATGGCGATTTCAAAATGGCGGCCGAAATTGGTTTAACGTCATTTTCAAATATGGCCGCCATACAAGCGTTTGTTGGCAGTGGAAAAAAATTGTTCTGATTACTTCCAAAATGGTCATGTGGGAGTCTCTAGGAGTGCTTGATAATAATTTGTGATCAACATTAATTTATCGCCATTTTTCAATATGGCTGCCATAGAAGTATTTTTTGGCGGGAAAGGAAAATTTACTCTAATACACTTGAAAATCGGCATGGGGTTCTCTATGGGTGTTTAATAACAATTTGCAGTCAAAATGTACTTTTTGCCATTTATCAATATAGCCGCCATTAAAGAGCTATGTTAATTTTTTAAAAGTCATAAGTGCCGAGGCCTTTGGCCGAGGTCTAGCGGAGGGCGAAGCCCGAAGCGTCTGCACGCCACCTTACGTAGGTAGTATACATACTTCCCGATGTAGTGGAAGTAATATCTTATTTACTTATACAACTTATAGCGTTGTATAAGTGTATCTCGACCGTCTCTCTGTTAGATTCTTTTTTATTGGAAGCTATGCCAAAAAGAGAAGTATTTAGGGGAAAAATGCCAGACAATCACTTCAAATTTCTACCATACAACTAGGGAATTTCCTGTACTATGAGTACCAGAGTAGCGATAATTCTGAGGGCAATACCCAGAATACCCTGACCAGGATCAACTTAAAAATGTTTTTCATAAATTGGCTCAAATAAGGGATCGAATCTGGAACCTCCTCAAAAGCGCCCATAGTACTAATCTACCAATAATCTACCATAGTACTAAACTAGTGCCCGTGAGTGCCTTTGAGTGTCTTTGAGTGCCCGCGAGTGCCCGCGAGTGTCATTGAGAACCTTTGAGTGCTTTGAAGTGTCTTGAGTGCCATTGTGTGCCATTGAGTGCCTTTGAGGGCCTTTGAGAGCCTTTTAGTGCCCGCGAGTGCCTTTGAGTGACTTTGAATGCCTTTAAGAGCGTTTGAGTGCCTTTGAGTGTCTAGAGTGCCCTTGAGTTACTTTGATTGCCTTGAGTGTCTTCGAGTGCCTTATAGCGCATTTGAGTGTCTTGAGTGCCTTTTAAAAAAAAACAAATAACGCACACACTCAACATAGCCCCGCACTAGGGAAACCCTGTGTCGCGAGTGCCATGGACACACACATAGACAACCACAAATTACACCCAAACTCACGAGAGAAATAATTGTAGGCCATACAAATATTTCTCCCGGCCCGGGAAACGAACCTGGGACCTCTGCGTGGCAGTCCGGCATGGTAATCGTTCGGTCAAGGAGGCAGTTAATTGAATGGAAAAGGCCTTTGAATGTTTTTTTAGTGTCCGCGAGTGTCTTGAGTGCCCTTAAGTGCCTTTGAGCGCATTTGAGTGCCTGCGAGTGCCTTTGAGTGTCAGCGCTTGCCTTTAAGAGCCCGCAAGTGCCTTCTACTCAAAGGTATTCAAAAGCACTCAAAGGCACTCACAAGCACTTAAAGATGATGGGAGTGCCCATGCACTCAAAGGCTCGGAGGCACTCGCAGGCACCGGACTTAAGTAAAGACTTGAAAACATTTTCACCACATCTGATGGAGTCGCAGTCTTGCAATCTGAACAGATTGTTACATTACAGGCGAATGCTCCCGGTGAACGAAGCTACCGAGGAATGTTACACAGCGAATGCTCGGCTTACCTCCCTCACCGCCTGTAACGTTCGCTTTTGAACGTTACATTACAAGAGCATGTTCGCGCAGTTAGTGAGATGTTAACGACTCGAAAAACTTAGGTACTAAAACAGTATTGTTACTTAAAACAATGTCAAAATGAGAAGTAATCGTACATTTAATAAAAAAATGAATTCTAATGAATTTTATTATAAAAAACACAAAAAAATTATTATCCATGGCTTAGGATAAATACTCAGCAAAAACGGACATTTATTGGATATTTATCCTTTGACGGATATTTATCGGGTAAAAACTTGAACTTATGAAAGAACTTATGTTTTAGACTTACTTTACCCCATGCTCCATATAGTAGGTACTCCATACGCACAAATGTGCAGAGTATAATTTACCTTTATGTAGACAGCCTTTTCCAAATGGGCGATAACGCCCCCTTGTGGGCGCTCCACGCCTATCGGCTGGTTCATAGAATACTTGTTCTTACTTATTGAGTACGATTGAGCGTCGAATGAGACAAACGAGTTTATGCATGTTTGTCTTATTCCTATCGGTGCGTGCTGCTTATGCAATCCTATATAAACAACGTAATATTTATTCTATTTTCATTTGCGGTTTCGCGCGTAATAGATAAGCAATGCTTAAGTTCACACAACACTCAACTCAACAACTCAACACTTACTTACGTAGTTCTCAAAAAAAAACAATATCGAAAGTAAAAAAGAAGAACCGGCAGTACTGTGCGAAATATATTAAATTCGGATTCATTGAAAATCCCACAAACCCATCGTCGCCTTTGTGCCTTCTATGTCTAAAAACATTTTCGAATGAAGCAATGAAGCTTTCAAGACTGCAAGATCATTTGAATTAAATGCATCCAGATAAGAAAGACAAGAATGTAGCATATTTTCAAGACCTAGAGAAGAAGCATAATACTCAGCCAAGTGTAGCAAAACTCTTTTCGGCGGCTACTAAGCAAGATGACGACGGACTTCGAGCTTCGTACAATATCTCTTTGTTAATTGCTCAAAAAGGCAAACCACACAACATCGGCATTTTGCCAGCAATAAAGGAAGTAATAACTACTGTGCTTCATAAACCGGCCGCAGATATTATCCGAAAAATTCCTTTGAGTAATAATTCTGTGCAAAGACGAATTGATGAAATGGCTGAAAACATTGAAGAATTATTGTGCAATCATCTGAGGACTAGTCACTATTGTTACTAACTAGTCACAGTTACTAATGACGAAGATTTCAACCATTTGTTGTTTCATATTGAAGTTCGTTGGCTATCAGGAGGCAATTGTTTGACTCGATTTTCAAACCTGTTTGACTCTGTAATAGAATTCTTGGAAACTAAAGATACAGAATTGCGCAACAAGCTCATTACATCAAAGAATGATATAGCTTACATGACAGACCTGTATAAATTGTTCAACGACATGAATCTCCGACTGCAAGGCGTTGAACTAAATTTAATTAAAACAAAAAATGTCGTTGCTGCTTTCGCAGCCAAACTGCTTCTACGCAAAAAGAATATGGGCAGACGTGAGTTTCACAAACGATACCAGGACATTTTGAACTTGGAAATACCAGACTGGGTGTTGAATCCGTTTTGCAAATGTCAACACAGCAATATCACCTCAGCTGGAAGAAGAACTTATAGAATTGACAACGAACGAGGAAATAAAAATCAAGTTCAAAAATGGCTACCAAGAATTTTGGCTAAAAACCAATCCCGCAATTGGACCCTGGAATGTGGTCAATCGTTCAACGATTCTTGATAGCATTCCCATCGTCATATTTGTGTGAACGTGGTTTTAGTGCTGTGACAACATTGCTTACTAAAAAGAGAAATCGTTTGCATGTTACCGAACGTGGTGACTTGCGGCTGTTCTTGAGTAAATTGGAACCTGATATCAACAAACTTATTAAACAGCATCAGATTCATCCTTCAAATTATTTTTTATATTAGAATTGATTATGTTTGTTTTATTTTGAATAAAAGATACTCTGTCTGAATACTATAAAGTTGCGTTTCAATAATCGTTCTCATTGGCAGGTGTAGCCCGTAAGAGTAAACTTGAGACCTGAGCGCCATTGTGTACTACCTACTGCGTTCAGGTCTCAAGTTAACTCTTGCAGGTTATAGTAAGTCTCGTTTAGAATGAATGTTTAATCTCCGCTAATATAGCTCACAATAATTAATTTAATTTGAAGTTACAGTGGTTTTTAAGTATGTGAAAAAATGGGGGCGCGAAAAAATAATTTATTCTCAAAGTGGGCAGTAGACAAAATAAGTTTGGGAACCCCTGGTGTAGACCGATTACAATTCTTCGTATACATGCTATTTTCGTATCATCTGCGAGCAATATTTTGCCTTTACCAAATAATTGCGGTCCTATTACGGGAGCTATTACGATATATAGCTCGTTAGTAGTTATTTTTGGAGAACAGTTTCTATGAAAACAGTGTTACTTGATATAGAGAGATCTAATTTAAAATCTTATAAACTGAGACATGTGTACGTTTATTTCGTGCGGTCGAAAAAAAAAATAATAAAAACAATAATAAATGTAATAATGACTGAAATACAGGTTTTTCGGTACGTAAATAAAAGAAAAAATAATTTGAAATATTCTTATATTTCTATTTTACTGAAAAACAAAATAGCAACCTTTTTTTTTAATTTGAAGGCCGACTTTATTTTTCAGTCAGTGGATTACTAATGCTTCTTCTTTGTTGACGGCGGCGAAGTCGGTGGACCAATAATCTGGAGAAAATCAAACATCAAACAATAATTGTTATTTACCATGATTAGTTAAAACGATCATTGTTCTATGCTATAGTAATATTCCACCAGATAGAAAGGCGATGTGATTCATAGTTTAATAAGATAAGTTTGGTAACTCCAACGTAGCCGCGTGTCTTGGATTTTTTTTAAGATACGAAGTGACGACAGTTGCAGCGCCACTCAGAGCTTTAAATCACAAAGATCTGAAGGGCATTCCTACTGCACCCGTCACCCTAAGACATAAGTTGAAAAGTTCTACATGCCTGTAATTTCACCAACACCTACCGTTCAAAACAGGAACGCAGTAACGCTCACATTACTGCTTGGCGGCAGAAATAGGTAAGGTTCAAGGCAGTACTTCACTGGACGAACTCTTTCACAAGGAGCTCTACTGCTACTTAATGTGCGCATTTGTCACTGGTAGTCAAGTAAAATCCCTAAATGCTTATCAAAAAAGCATAGGACATTGGAAGCAAAGATAATTTAAATACTGATGCTAACTACAAACATTATCGTAATTATTTATACATACATCGAACACTAAGAAAGATTCTTTCAATCTGGTTGTATTCGAACCATCGTTTTCAACATACCAGGCCGACGCTCTCCTAACTGAGCTATGGAACGAACCAGCAGATCTTACGAATTTTTCTACGTGCTTGTTGCAAGTCTATATTTTTTTGTTTTTAACGACCTTTTTGCCGTAGTAGTAGTAGACCTGTGAGAATTCTATGAAAGTTTTTCTTCACTCAGCTAGGTACCTGTACAACGGATGTCACTTTAATTAATGTAATATGAAGTTTATTGAATATCGCCATGTTTTACTACCATCACATTAAATTGTTTTTTTGTGATTTTACTTCACTAGTTTGTTATTATAAATAAAAAGATCGAACATTACGACGTTAGGTGAAATTACAGGCACGTGGGACTTGTCAACTTGTCTCAGGGTGACGGGCGTAGTGGCAGTGCCCCTCAAATCGTTGCATTTTAAAGCTCTGAGTGGCACTGCAACTGTTAGGAACATGCGTGTAGCTTACCCTCAGGCGCACGACTTGTCCGTCCCGTCACTTGACATTATAAAAACAAAAAATTAAAAAGATTTAAGAACAATTCCTTCAATCGGGCTGAATTCGAACCAGCATCTTCAGCATACCAGGCTATAATGTAAACAGAGGTAATGTAAGTTTTTTTAATATCATCCGCACCTGTCTGGTAGCGTAGCAAATGAGTTCATATGTGGTAAAGGCGACAAGACCTGAGAGCTGTGCTTTGTAAATAGTGATTTTGAAACCTCTGAAAAGACCTTTGAATCCTTCCAGTTCGAACGTTTTTACTAGGCATTCGATTAGCGAATGACATTTAAACATGCTGTCGCCTTGACTTGGAAAAGTCTGAAACAAATCGAAAGTCACTGTACTTCGACATTATGTGACACTATACTTCGTCCAACCATTTATATAACGTCTGACATATGCATGCCTCCGAAGTTCTCTAATTATTTATCTACATATTGATATACAACCACAGACAAAAAATGCAATACTTCCTGAACTCTTTTATTTTTAATTTTAGTGAAGCGACGTGCGTGTGACGAGATTATATAACGAAGATTATTCAAGTTGATAAATTTTGTTACCTGTCTTATAAATTATAATGAAATGAAGTTAATTATAATACATTCTTATTGTTTTTATAACAAATCGTCGGATTAATCTTCATATGAACGGGAATCATCGCTTAAATCCTCATTAATATTCCTTATTTATTTATTTTTTATTTAATAGTTTATTGTACGGGAAAAATACAACGAATAAAATAAAAAAATAAAAGTCACAAAGAATACACGGGAAATCAAAAACAAACGGTTCTGCTTATTTCTAATAGAAATTTCTTCCTGCAGACCTAAATACAGGACACTATAACTAAAAGAATGGGCATATGTGCACAACAAAACAAGAAAAAAAAATTATAATATAATAATATTAAATTGTTATAAATTATATAAATACATATTTTATAATATAATGCCTACGGTATGGATGGAATAGTAGATAAATAATGCTCTTTAACTCTCACTTTAAAAATAGCTAACGATTTACTTTCGTGAACAGTAATAGGAAGTGCATTCCAAAGTCTGACTTCATGAACAGTGAAGGAGTGAGAATAGAAACCGGAATTGAAGCATGGAAAAGATAACTGGGACCTAACAAGAGAGCGGCAGGGTTTATCCTGGGACCTAAGGAAGCTTCCTTATTAATTCTTGAGTACACAAATTGTCAAACGCAACATCACGATCCCAATCAGACAATATCTTTTTTTTGAACCTGCACACATTCACGATTAAAACTTCTTCATAAATAAACTCGATTGTTATAAAAAATCGAATCGAAAACGCATTAGGACATCACTAATTGATTACAATTCAAGCTGTCAAAGTTAAATAAATGGTTGGATAAATGGTAGACGCAGTGTTAACGAGCGTATAAACATTTATGCTCACTGAGTGTAAATGTGTTTTATGCTCTTTCAAATGTATGTAGTACTATGAAATGTAGAAATGGGGGTACCCTTTGGTCAGCCCTGAAATACCAAAGAGACAGCACATATAGCGCCCTTCGCCCTTTAATCTAATCTTGCAAAAATGGTGCATATGCAATGAGCGCGCAACTTAAACACGACAGAAGTTAAATACATTAATTTTATATAAACACGTGTGATCTAAATAAAATAAATAAATAAATATAATAATACTTAGCCACATGAATGTGAGCTATAAATGAAAATGGATCAGTATCATCATATTAAGGTATAAATAGGTATGAAACTTATACCATTTACTAAATAGACTCATTAAGAATGTTTTTTTATAACTATAAAGTGATAATGATATACGTAAGAATTTCAGTTCCAGAAAAATAAATTAAAAAGGCAGAAAGGGATGAGCTCTCGATTAGAACTTAAGACCATGAGTATTAGAGGATTTCTCATCGGAACACCGGCCTTCCCACATCTAAAAGTCAGCTAAATTTTGATAGTACGTAGTATTTGTACGCCGTACATATTACACATATTGTACGCCGTACATTCTTAGTGTTGTCGATTTAAGGTTAAACGATTGAAGCACGATTTAAGGTCTTGTTGAAATTTATCGGTTTAGAATTGTAGTTTTGAAACCTATTTTAAAGAAGTTTGTACGCAATAGTCACATATGGTGTACATTTTATATCATTATGTGGTTGGTTAAAAATGGCTTGCTGTTCCATCTGCTGTACAATTTTTTGCGCAATGGTACATATTAGGTACATAAGTATATTCTTCTGATATATATTTTGTTCTTTTATCTATGTCCCAAAACGGATAAATTAAATTTCTTACTTAAATAAGACCATTCAAAAGTAGTGGGCTTATTTAGGTTAAACGCATCGTTTTTTAATATAAACTGACCTTTATTTGCAGTCTCTTCTTTGCCAGTTCGAAAGGGTAAGTTAAACTTTTGGAGGTAATACCAGCCATAGAGCCGGCAATGGCGCTAGCAGTTGCTACGTTGACCGCATGGTCCTGTTGAGTTTGGCATACCTCCCGATTGTCGCAATCTCTAGTTAGTAGAGTCAGCATGAATGATTGCACTAAGCGGAATACAGCGAAGCTTATACCTACTTGTGGACCAATCTGAAATATTTCAGTTTATGTACATGTTACAGTTTATGTGGTATTCTCGAAACCTAGAAAATTTCCGGAACTCCTTTTTACATTCTATTTTATTTTAAGTGTAATAATAGATCTCGATAAAGAACCAATTGTAACGTTTAGCAAAAAAGAATATAATATGAATGCTCAATAACCTGAACTATAGCCGCTGATAGCCCTTCGTAAAAAGAAAGTATGCCTCCCGTACTGTACACCTTTTTAGCACCTTCGATAAGATTTCGCGTCGCCTCCTTGTTGATCATCTGCCGCACTTTTATCACCTCCAGCGGATGCACGACTGTCGCTGCCATGCAACCCGAGAACACTCCGCATAGAAAATGGACTAAGGACCTGGGTACGCACAGAATTTACTTGTAACTTCAGATTCGATACTGGACTGTTGGTAGAGTTAGTACGTAATGTAAACGTAAATCAATTTTTTATTTAAGAAATTAACACACCAACTACAAATATGGCTGCATTGAAGAACATTTCTGATAAATGTATTACTTAGCAAAATTGCATCCTCTGACATTTTCAATACTGACTGACTACTGAGTCGAACTGATCGCAACTTACGAGTATTTTCCAGTTTCGAAGTTCATGTCGACCAATCTTGTAGTCACTTCATAAACATAAAATTGGGTTGTTACACCTAATATAGAATGGATCTGAAATAGTACGTGAACGCTTAGTTTAGTTAGAAAATTAGTTCACCTAAAATCTTCTCTTAGATTAACCAAACATATCTAGTGAAAAATAAACAACTGCAAGACAATGTATCCACTGAAAACAAAACCCCAATGCCTACTATTCTAAGCAAGGATAACCAAATTAGAAAAACGCTTGCCTAGCAGTTGATGGACTTGGTCACTTTTGGACAAACTCGCGCTGCGGGGATATATATTGCATTGATGGAATATAATACCTGCCCTACTTGATGACCGCGCCAAAGAGACTTAACGCCTGTTTCTTCTATGATTTTCCTGGTGATTTGAAACCACTTTCGGTTCGGGTTGGAGATGGCTTTCTTTTCAAGTTGGGCTCGGACTTTGACCACGTCTAATGGGTTGGTCATAGCTCTCGTGATCACCCCTGAAAATAAACTGGCGATCAGCTTCTGATCAGGCGTCAAACTCTCGTCCTTGTCATAGCCGACCATTGTAGTATTCTACACATGGTGGCTGAATTTCCAGTTTGTTAAACATTAGGCACTACAAAATTTTTGATCAGTTCCGAGGCTAATTATGAGTTGCGGGCCGTAGAGAACACTGGTTACATTTTCTTTCTAGGGAACACAGAGTACAGAAAATATGTATTATCTAGACAAGGTGGTCGACGTTGCAAGGCTACAATCTATAGAGATGGACGAATATTACTGCTGCAATGAATACAGAAAACAAGTCAAACTGTCACTTTTTCTTTTTCTTCCTAATATTTGGCTCCTAGAGGATAAAGTTTGAGCCAAAAGCCATAATCTGTCTTAATTAAATTTCTTATATTCTGATCAATGGGCTTAATTGAATCAATCGTTATACTACTTCTTTTTGTAGATATTCTTTGAAATCACTGTGTCAGAAAGAAATAATTAAGGAATTTTGTACAGTACGTTTTTTTCTCAACCTTGGCTCTTCATAATATGTTCTACAGTAATGCCCGCTTTCCACTGCGAAAGGGTAATGACCGGGAAATAGCTGAGCAAAGCGGAACGAATAGTTTTGTCCTTCTACTAGGAAAGAGTTTCACTGAAAGGAGGTATTTGCCTTCCTTAGCCAACGGGCTAAGCGGAGTGAACCAGGTGGGAAATGAGATGGGTTAGATGAGCGAGTCGTTCGCCTTCCTTATCGAGCGGACTTATTCTTTTATTTTTTTCCATCCTCTAAGGCTCAACTCACACTGGCGCAGAGTCGAAGCGTCGCGAAGCGTCATGTTTTTCGCCTATAGTATATTCATCTATATTTTCCCATTATTAAAGTACAAATTTGAGTTTTGCAAGTACGGACGGACGACGACCAAACTAATGCGAGCGTCGTCGCGCGTCACTTGGGCGTCAGACGACGACCAAACTGTGATCCCGGCGCGCTAATGCGAGTGTCGTCGCGCGTCACTTGGGCGTCCGACGACGACCAAACTGTGTTTCCGGCGCGTTAATGCGAGCGTCACCGCGCGTCACTTGGGCGTCAGACGACGACCAAACTGTGATCCCGGCGCGCTAATGCGAGGTTCGTCGCGCGTCACTTGGGCGTCAGACGACGACCAAACTGTGATCCGGGCGCGCTAATGCGAGTATCGTCGCGCGTCACTTGGGCGTCAGACGACGACCAAACTGTGATCCCGGCGCGCTAATGCGAGCGTCGCCGCGCGTCACTTGGGCGTCAGACGACGACCAAACTGTGATCCCGACGCGCTAATGCGAGCGTCGCCGCGCGTCACTTGGGCGTCAGACGACGACGTGCGGTTTGATGGAAGCACTTCTATGAATTTTACCGTTGCTAGTCAAACGGAATCCGTAAGGAGCCCGCTCTGATGGCAGTGGAAGGCGGGCATTACCCTT